TTGTTAGTTGCCATCATGTTATGTTAGCAGTTGCCATGCTATTATATTGTTAGTTGCCATCCAGATTCTATAAAGAGAAATGAACATAGGAAGTGATCACTATGTGTACTATAGCCAGAAAAATGAAATTGCCTTGTATACACCAACTACAGTTGCCATGTATCAAATAAACTTCACTTTGGCATGAAAAAGTCACAAACAAAAGATAACAAAAGGGTTGCCATGCACGATCGACTATGATTGCCATAAAAAATCAGATAAAAGATCTGTCAAGAACTATGGATTGTTCAGATTATGACCAAACAGAGATACCAAAATGGAAAAACAGTTTGGTTGCCGCTTATTAACAGCTGCAAATGTTGATTTATGAAAGAATGAACCATGCTAAGAGCATTTGCATAAAAGAGTAGGGGGGGAATACCATTAGGTGCAACCGACATCCCTTTTGGTACATCTTAGTTGAGAATGCATCATGCAGGAAGTTGACAATGAATTTTCACCAATTCATGTTTTTAACATCTTTTAGCTTCGCCTGCACAAACACAATTTGGGACAAAAAGATACCACATCGACATTCAATAAAAACATGAAAAACTGATAGTGATGCACTTCTACATGACATCAAAAACAAAAGATTGCATGTAGAAGAATAGAGAGGGAGCATTCACCAGGATAGGGAAGCACTTGTTGTTCGGGCGAAGAGATGTGGTAGGCACAAATACAGCTGAGATCAAGTACATGAGCAGCTTCATCTTAAAAAACCTCGCCATGGGTTGTCATCCCCTCCAATGAAGTTGCCAGTACAGTCGTATTAGGCATTGATGACATTCCAGGAAACAAACGGGCAAACAAAGCTTCCTCAATCTTATTGTTCACCTCATAAGGGACTTTTATTTCTCCACGGGGGACACCAAAAGTGCAGAACACAGATTCCTCATTCAAAGGCAGTCTTCCACGTCCCGGAATCACGAATTCCCTAGACGCAGGCTCATATATTTCACCGAGCCAGTCGCATACAGGGTTTACTAGGTTCGTGCACCGAACCTTCATCAGAGCCTTCATACCCATCTGGCCGGCAGCTGCCTTCTGCTCATCAGTAAATCCCTCTGTCAGTATAGTCAGGCGTTTTTGAGAAGCCCTATTGCGCAGACACTACTTCTTCTGCAGAACACAAAAAGGATCATTTGTTGCCATGTTTCAATGTATTAAAAATTAGTTCTAAAAGAAGAATGAAAACTCAGTATCATATTAAAAACATAGGGGGAGAGTGACCTCATCCCCACGATTCCATGGCGGTGGCTCCCTGAAGTCATCATCATCATCTTGATGGTCACCACGAGCCATATCTGCTACAACAACAGCAAAAACACGTTACTATGAAATTAAAACACATCCGACAGACGCAGAAAGTGATACACGAAGTAATGAATCACTGGATATCATCAATAAACAAAAAATGATAACTGCCATATTTACCCCAAAGTTTTAGCATGTGAAAGGATGTAATTGCCATGTGCTGAACATGCACAAAAAGGCAAAAAATAACCAATGCAAAAGCAGGTGCAAAAACATGGCAACTGGATATGTGTTTCCATCTTAAGAATGCAGTTGCATGTAGGAGATTCAATTTGCCATGTTGGTAAAATAAACAATATGGCAACTGAGCCAGTACATTGGAACACCCAACTACCATTGTCCACCAATCAGTGTGGCAACTAAATTGACTTAATAAAAGCACAGACCACATCTACTAGGTTCAAGTTGCCATGTTAACAAAACGAAAAGATGTGGCAACTAAGGCACTGATCGATTGATTCAGTTGTTTGGATATACACAACCAACGCCATGGGACTTAATGTGTTTGTTGGCTAACAACAGTACATGACAAGGGAAGACAAGAGATTAGATGGATACATACTCTGCTTTGAGAACTTTGAATATATACTCTACTCAATGCAGAGCCAGAAACTGAATATAGAGGGGGCCAAGACATGTCATATAATGTTAGAGGGGACCAAATCTCCTAAACATAGCTAATTTTGTCTGCCAAATGGAGGATTAGTAGTACATATATGTGTACTTATGAGAGCATAGGGGAGGCCAAGGCCCCTGCCAGCACCCCTGCCTCCGCCACTGACTCTGCTTTGCTCTGCTCTGAATATATAGAGTGAAGAATGTGGATGAGAAAATCATGAATAGCAGAGTGTGCCAGTCCACAACATGTAATGTGGCAACTCACACATTGGCCTGGTGAAATGAGTTGCCATGTACTGCATTCAAATGTGTTGTGCAATCACAGAACAATATGGCAACGAAGTGAGTACATGGTACATACAAAACTTCCATCACTCTACATATGACATGGCAACTGTCATACTTGATTTACAGAATTAGTTGCCACTTAGAAGGATAATTGATTTAGAAACACAACTATCACTCCCTAAGTTTGGATCTCATAAACTGCCATTATCCTACGCAGGGCATGGCAACTGACATAGTTGATTCAGAAAATTAGTTGCCATCAATGAGGATAGTTGTGGATAAAAACAAGTGTGTTGAAATTGCCATGACTGCCATGATCCTACACATTGAAATGCACCTACCTAGATCTAGGGTTCATACACAACTATCATACCCCTCAATTCAAACAGCAACATTGCCCTAAAACACTGAAGATCGTAGCCTTCGAGACAAATCACACCTAACGAATTAGAAACGGAATCGCTCACGAATGTAGTTGTAGGAATCTAATTGCCACCCGGGCGAGCCTCACCGGCTTGAGTACCACCATGACGGCGATGGGGCTGCGCAATGCCGCCGTAAAATAGCACACGCATGACTCCCCCATCGACGGGGACACCGAAGCGGCCGCGAATCCGCCTGAATCTCGAGGGGGGGAGGGCTCGGGAGAAATGAGACCAGGGAGGAAAGGGGAAGAGGAAGATGGAGAGTGCAGAAGCTTCGACAACCTTACCTTCTCACTGCGGCAGCTCCGGCGACGACGCTCTGGTTCGGCGAACACCAGCAATGGCCGCGAAGGCCATCGACTCTTCCGCCGCCGCCGCCTCTTCCTCTCGCCTTCTCCTTCAATCGAGCGGAACTGCCTGTGGAAGATTGGTTCGGGAGAAATGAATGCGAGGGGAGAAACCGCAGATGCACTGAGGGGGGAATTGCAAGTTGAGGGAGACGGCGACAAAAGTCGTGCGCCACGCGTGCGGGCGCGACGACAGTTTCACCACACGCCCCGACTAACAACTGCTGACGGCCGACGGAGAAACACGTGCGGGCGAACTGACGAAGACACCGCACAACACACTTGTCCTACATGGCAACCAAAAACTGCCTCATCGCGCCAAGATGCGTGCAAGTTTGAATCGACGGTGGTCCAGTCGTATGGGCGGGTTGGAGAAGTGCCACATGTGTGGGCGTTAGTCTTTCCGTTTTTCTTTAGAGTCACCACCACACTTTATTTAATAACATCAATAACATCTGGTACAAACAATATATCTGGAGTCGTGGATAACCAAATATAAATAACGGCCCAAGCTAAAGAAACCGAGGCCCTAGCAAGATCATTTGATTTGAAGTTAGATTCTCTTGCTT